TAACTTTACTTGAAATTACTGAACTTGCTCAAAGGACCATCGTACACGTCCGCGTGCGCTCGCGATGTGCGAGGTTGCGGCTTATGGCCACTTCTTCATTAAACATGAAAGATTCCGAACAACTTCACATAATTGAATATAATATGACTTAACTGGATCATTTAGACCTAAACTGCTCGAACAACTCGATCATAGGCAAGGATAACACGGCACGGCCGTTGACACGCACCCCGCGTGCGGTCCTTGGCTTTAAGACAATTTCTCGACCGAACCTCTACTTTACTCGACAAAATCCACTTGACTGAACATAATACACTTAATAAAGGCTAAATAAACGATAAACGCTCGGGACTTGACGGACTGAAATGGACATAAGGAGGTCTTATCTTACATATGTCATGAACCGAACATAACATGATCTTTCCTTAAATTCTGAAAATTACTCGAACCATTAGCCTTAAAACGACCTTACTAACATGAACAATGGCTGAAGAGAACGTTACCTCTTCGCTTACTCGATCGAAACACTCCAATTACTCAAGCTCTTCTTACTCCGTGCGTGCGTGACTTGCCGTGCGATTTGCCGTGCGATGATGCGGGGAAATTGAGTAATAGGTTGGATACTTGTTGCTGAACCTTTGGCATAGAGGGGGGGTAATATACTGAATGTGCCTTAGGAAAATGGGGGAAAAATTTTGTCATCTCAAGCTTATATATATGGCCGTGGGGGGAGATGGTGATGACGTTGGTGATGCGTGGCTTTCCCTTAATCTCACACTTGCTCCCACATAAACTAAGCATAGATGACTAATCACCTTCACATTTTGCCACGTTTTATACCAAAGAGAATGAGGAAATAATTTTCCCAAGCTTGAAGAAAGCTTCGGTTTTTATTGCTAAATTGGGACAATTTGCTCAATTCCGCACGGCTTTGGTTTATTATGTGATTAATTTGCTTAATTATTCACTAAATATGTTTAATTATTCAATTAAACATAATACTTAATTACCAAAATTATTCCGAACGTAAACGGTACGTCGAAAATAAATTTCGGTAATCTCGACTGAAATTAATTAATTCCAAAAATAATAAACATTAACATTATTATATCGAAACTAAAACATAATTTATACCGATAAAATATTGGGATATTACAATCCTCCCTCCTTACAAAATTTCCGTCCTCGGAAATTCAAAACATAACTGACATACATGAGTTACGTACATAAGATAAAGAAATATGTACATCAAAACTGAAAATCTGGGAAGCGAGCGCGAATATCGGACTCCTCCTCCCAAGTAGCTCCATGGCGATCCCACTGAACACGCACGAGGGGAATATCTCGCTTCCGGAGCCGACAAACCTGTCGGTCTAGTACAGCTACCGGTCGCTCCTCGTACGATAGATCTGGCTGAACCTGAATATCCGTATGAGGGATGACATGATCGGGGTCGCACACGTACTTACGTAACATCGATGCGTGAAATACATTATGAATGCCTAATAACTCGGGAGGTAGGGCTAATTGATACGCGACCTCGCCTACTCGCTCGAGAACCTCGAACGGACCGATAAAACGAGGGTGCAGCTTCCCTCTCTTTCCGAATCGCACAACTTCGCGAATCGGACGAACTCTAAGAAAGGCTGGCTCGCCAACCTCGAACTGAATGTCTCGTCGATGATGATCGGCGGAAGATTTCTGTCGACTCTGAGCTGTCCTGAGTCTCGGCCGGATCAACTCGACCTGCTCCGCTGTCTCCTCGATCATCTTAGGACCGAGTACTCGTCGCTCTCCAACGTCGTCCCAATAGAGAGGGGAACGACACTTGCGACCATAAAGTGCTTCGTACGGAACCATCTAAATGGAAGAATGATAGCTGTTGTTATACGCAAACTCGGCGTACGGCAACAGTGACTCCCACTTAGCACCCCTGTCAACAACCAAGGCGCGAAGCATATCCTCAAGTGTCTGAATCGTCCGCTCTGACTGACCATCTGTCTCTGGATGGTAGGCCGAACTGAACTCAAACTTGGTGCCTATCGCCTCATGCAAACTGTGCCAGAATCGGCTAACGAATCTGGGATCTCGATCTGATA